TTTTTTTTTTTTTTTTTTTTTTTTGTAATTACGAGATTGAGTCTGTGATAGCACTTACTTTTTATGCCCATTGTCCGGATTATTTTAAGCCGCCGACATAACAGTGAAAGGGTCTTGGCTTCAATGAAGACCAAATAGCCGAAATGAAGACAAACTGCGCCCGCTGAAGTTTCGTGCTTCGATTCCTGGCTCTAGAAATAACTAAATTAGAAACAATTTTTTCTAACGGCATCACCCCTCGGCAGGCAGTAGCGAACCCCTGAGTTTATTTTTGCCTTGGAAAAATTTCTCTTAAAAACCATTAGCCCTTCGGTCCCTCCATTTGTTTTACAACAATAGAACTCACTTTTGTTATATTTTAGAAATAAAGCCCACTTAAACTACTCTCGTTTGACAACCATATTAAAATATTTCATTTATCTTGTTACTTGAGTGGATTTTGAGTTTCTAAATAGGTGGCAACCCTACCTAAAAATATATTAGAAATAAAGCGTACTTAAACGTCTTTCGTTTGACACCCCTTTTTAAATATCAAGTTGATTTTGAATTTCTAACCTGGTGGCAACCTTCGTCAAAAATTTTCCAAAATAAACCTTCCTTAAACCTCTCTCGTTTGACACACATTTTAAAATATTTCCTTAATTAAATTGGTTTTGAATTTCTAAAAACGGGGCAACCCCCTTTAAAAATATTCAAGAAATAAAGCGCTCTTAAACCTCTTTCGTTTGACACCACTATTAAAATATTTCATTTAACTTGTTAATTATTTGATCTTGATTTTCCAAACAGGTGGCAGCCCCCTTAAAAAATATTTTCGAAAGAAAAATTTTTTAGACTTCTCGTTGACTTGATTTTCATATAAAGTATTTCCTTTGGCTTGGTGATAAGGTTGATTTTGAAGTCCTAAACAGCTGGCAACCCTCTAAAAAATCATTTTCGAAATTAAGCTTTCTTGAAATTTTCTCGTTTGCTACTCAGATAAAAATATTTCATTAAACTTGTTGATTAAATTTATTTCCGCACTTTTAACAGGTGGCAACCCTCTTCAAAGTTATTTCGGAATAAAACGTTTTAAAGCTTTATCTTTCTATCTTTCGTTTCAAACCCACGTTGCTGTTATATTTTATTTAACTTTTAATTAATTGACTATAACTTTTGTAAAGGTGGCAACTTTCATCAAAAGACTTTCACAATTATAAAATTTGTGGGATATAAAAAAATATAGAAATATAAAACAAAAAGAAATTAAAAAACAATATTTTATTTATGCCCCAAAAGGTAAAAAAAAACATAAAAAATATACTGCCTCAGTTTTTTGGTTAAGGTCTTAAACGGTTGAGGAAAATTTTAATAAATCGCGTAATTTTGAGTCACAGCCTTTCATCCCTTTAAGGAATTTTAGACTGTAAAAACGTGATTATGATTTATTAACTGCTCAATAAAAAAAATCTTTTCTTTTTAGTTTTTTGCTTTGTCACCTGCAATAACATTTTACGGAATGCTGTCCTGCATATAAATTTGTTAAAATATTTTGTATTGTTGCTTGTTAATTAAATAAAATAAATACGCAATAAAAGCAGGTGTTGGCAAATGAATTCCTTTAGAGTAACTGACTTTGTGATGAATAAAAAATGCAGCCATTAAAAATCAAACGTTTGGTGATGGCAAGCCATAAGACCTGTGTTAATTAGTACTCCTATAAATGGCATTCGTAGGCAAAAATTAGCTGCTAATAATGAAATAAATAAGCGATTGTCCGTGGAACATGCGCTATTTATCTTATAACCAGTCCATATGAAAATGTTTTTCTTAAATATCAGATTCACTAATTCCTTCCCTTTTTTCACTTTGCAGATAGTGCGCAACGCATGAATACGAACGACTACGAAGATGAAACAATGAATGAAACCCGTCAATGAAAATTTGCTTCCGGAGCATTTTGACTGCTGTTTGCCTAAAACAACAACTAACGGATCCTGCCAATCCAAAGTACTCAAAAACGCTGTTTATCAGCCTGTGAACCCTACTACCTACCAAACCACTACATTTTCTTAGTTTAAGTTTTGTTTAAAAAATTTAATTATAAGCCTAAGGTAGCCTTTTAGTCAAAAAAAAAAAAAAAATGGGTGCAACACGCGATAAGCCACGCATCAATAGAAGCCTCATCTCGCTCAAAGTGGTGGTGTTCTTTGTCATCAGCGGTGAGTACTCTGAACAAGAGCTCTTATCAAATTTGAAAAAAATTTAATTCACCTCTCTCATTCCGCAGGCATCACCGCGCTTCATGTGCTGCACGCCACCAAACCACTCCTGCTTGGCTTGAATTTCAGCGAATATCGCCGCATCAGCATCATTGCGCCATTTGTCTCAATACTGGGCCCACTGATTGCCGGTCCGCTCGCCGATCGGCTTGCGGCCAAGAATGCCACCAATTTCGGCCGTATTCTACGCTTCCTCACTGCCCTCTTCCTGATACTGGCCGTAATTGTGTACGCCTGCCTCTTTGCCATATCCGAAGTGCAGCGTGAGGAAGCGCGTCGGCCATTGGTCAGCTTCGGTTGTGATTCACATGGCGCTGTTATATTTCAAGAGCGTTGTTCCAAGGAGGCCACCTGTCATCATTGGAAGGGCAAGGTGGGCAATGTGAATTTGACACGCTGCACCTACACCTGCCAGGATCCCACCAAGTACGAGAATATGTACACGCCATGGTTTGAAGGTGTGCCCACACCGTTGCCCTCTACCGAGCACAGCTCCGAGTTTGATTACGAAGATGAATCGGTTGCCACCTCAACGGAGACTTATCGCAGAAGACGCGCAATTGCTGGCGGTTCAGCTGAGTATGGCGGTGAGCTGTTGAGCGCAGAGGTGCAACAGCAACAACAACGTGCTGGTCGCGCTGCCCGGGATGTTGGTGAAGGTACGCCTACGAAGATCTACGTTGAGCCACCACACTTATGCCTCACCCAGAGGACAGACAGCGGTGATACTGTGGTGAAGAATTGCCATGTCTACACGCATGATACGAATAATATTGTGGTGAATTCGGTGTTGCGGGCTGCGGATAATAGCAATGAAAATGATACGCACAGCGAGGAGTGGTGCAAATATCCGTTGGGTAAGTGATGGTGTGGGAAAATCAAACTAATCGATAAAGAAATAACTGACTGTGGACTTAAATAAAGTAGGGCGAAAAACACAAACTTTAAATACAAAGCATTAGCGTGAAAGTGTGACACGAAGTGTAGCGCTAAAACCTAATTTGCAGTTAATCAAAAAAAAAAAATTGTAACCTGCGATCAAATATCCAGACATTATAAAATACTTTTACGTATAATACTGTTCGATCCTCTCAGATGTCTAAAGAACATACAAGAAACAAACAACATTTGTTTAGAAAATATTCGCTTGGTTTTCTAACAGCAGAGGCAAAAGAGTTATAATCGCAGGCTTCAAAAGGGCACCGACTCGGCTTCTGTAAAGTTCACAGAACTCGGATAGCTTGTGTGACTTTAACTGAAATCGCTCCTGTGAGAGAACTGCCGCGGCAGACTCCGGGACGATTCGTTAATCCATGCTACTAGATGAGATCGATACATCCTTTCTTCCTCCAGGACTAAAACTTTGGAGGGCAAGTTCTCTTAGTGATCAATCATCAGTACTCTAGTGCCATAGTAATGAGTTTCACTCATCTAATAGGTTTATGACAGTTTCTTTGCTTTCTTCGCGCACATAACATTTATCGCCAAAAAAATTCAGAGCCACAGCTAAGTCTTCAGATCGGTAAATAGCGCTGGTTCTAAACTATGCCGTACTAGCTCAGTCGCCGGAGACTATTAGGCCACAGTGGATGCAGCTACAGACTTGCATGGCCCTTGAGGGACCTACAATTTTACGTCGTCTTCGAATGGCATATGGTTTTTATGGGAAGCTCTTAGGAACAACTTTTTCTAATATGAATATAAAGAATATCCAACAAGTAGTTTGTCGGAAGTCGAGTTACCTCCTTGCTACGTCAGAATGTACATATATCATGTCAGAAACTGCCGCTATGAATTCACGGATGAGATGCAGAGATGCCTAAATCACAAAACCAATGTACATGAAGTTGTACAATTAGACAGTAAATAAACGACACTCACCGTAACCACTTTCACTAACTTTGCAGACGAAAAGATTCATATGCCTCGAGAGACCGGTGTAACTCTGGTGCAATTACGAATTGGATATTGTCGTATGTTGAACTACTTGCTATTCCGACTTGGACACCGACATACCCAATGCTGACCAACTTCTAAACCTGGTTCGCATGACGCCAACTAACTCTTAACTTATCTGCTTAAACCCACTCCCTAACATTAGCTTCCCTGGTTTGATACCGTCAAAGCAGCATGCTTACTGGGCCTGCCATTGGTCGACTTGCCGAAAACGATTGATAGACAGCCGATTTAGACCACGAACAAATATGGATAGATAGCATGGTAGTGTGTTAAAGAACGCAGTTGTTTGTTTTTCATCATATCGCGTCACAAATCTCTATGTAAACCATATGTAGGCAGGAAAACACACGAAAAAAGAGTTTCACCATCTCGTCTCTTCAAGGCAGGAATAACAAATAGGGTTGTCATGTAAATATCCCAATTACTTTCAGTTTTTTTTGACACAAGAACCATCCAAATGGCCACCCAAGAGCTTTCTGCATTCCCACCTGTTCAATGACCGAAAATACTTAACCGATTGGACCTATCAGTGTGGCTTCAGATCTGGTAAGTCCATAATTTACCAGATTTGCATAAAACCTCAAATCCTGGAGAGGACACTAGATATGCAAATCAACACATACCGACTTTTTTCGATTGGAAAGCTTCTTTTGACAGTACGGAGAGAATCTGCCAGTACGACCCCTTGCCTAAATTTCCGATTCCTGCAAAATGAATACAACAATGTAGAGTGACGTTGAGCACCACCTGCAGCTCAGTTAAAATTGGGAGATACCTCTCTGCGCCGTTTGAGGCAAGGCGATTCGCCCTCGTGCGACTTTTTCAATCCGATGCTGGATAGCGTAACAAAAGCTGAATGAGGACAAGACAAAGTACTTCCTGGCAACACATAAAGCGTACACACGTTTTGGGACAGACGTAATTTTTGGCAGTTTGTTTACTTAGGATCCAGCATAAACACCACCAACAACGTCAACCTAGAAATGAAGCGAAGTATAACTCTTACCAAAAGGTACCACTTTGGGTTCGGTAGGTAGTTAAAAAGGCGGAGCCCTGTGCGATGAAAAAAAAATCACGCTCTATATCTCGAATAAATGTGGACGATGTCGAATAAAAATGAGAAAGCTTTGGTTGCTTTAAAGAAAACTATTAAAAGGAAATTCTAAAGCCCTGTTCGAGTGGACGACGGGTACCAAAGAAGATGAGAAAATGAGCTGTAACAGGCTAACCTAATATTCACGCACGCCGCCAATTTATTGTCAAAAATTTCTCATGCACATGGAACTTGTATGAGATCAACCGAAATTGAACAGCGTGCGTATGAAGCTAACTCAATTTCCAATTTTTGTTCTGCGTGACATTTTGATTTCAAGTTTCGCTCAATGAAATCAAATACAAACGCATACAATTCAATTTCGGGTGACGCAAAAAAACAAATTCGACGGCATGCGTACCAAAACGCAAGCCGCGAATATTAGGTTAGCCTGTAAGAGCTTTTTAGCAATATCGACATAGTTAAGCGCAAAAACACAATGACTGCGCTCGCTGTTGTACGCATGAATAACAGGGCTCCGGTGAAATGTTCTTCGACCTGGGTGGATAAAGAAAGAAATGGCGCGCATGAACACAATGGAAGGATCTAGTGCGGAAGGACCTGTCTGCACTCGGCACGAACAATTGGCGCCGATTCGCTAGGGAGAGAGGCGATTGCTGAAGTTTGTTTAGGCTCAGCGCAAACCGACAAACGGTTGTAGTGCCAAATAAAAAGAAGAAGATGTAGGTTAGGTTAATTGGCCGGTAGTCCTTTGTAAAACTTACTAGGAATAAGAGTCCTTTGGTATACCGCATAAGGTTTATAGTTTATTTGGCAATCGAAAAAAGGGACAAGCTTATAATATCTATTGCTGTGGGGTCATCCAGGTCAGCGTTATGCTTATGGATATTTTTATCGATTTTGTTATCGATTTTGCTATCGATTTTGTAATCGATATTTTTATAGATTTTGTTGTCGATATTTTAATCGGTTTTGTCGTCGATATTTTTATCGGTTTTGTTATCGATAATTTATTGATTCTGTTAACGATTTTGCTATCGGTATTATTATAGCTTTTGTTATCGATATTTTCGGAATTTATCGATATAATTATCGATATTTTTAGATTTTTTAGCAATTTTGCTATCGATATTATTATCGACATATTTATCGATTTTTTTGTCGATATTTCTATCGATTTTGTCATCAATGTTTTTGTTACCGATATTTTTATAGATTTTGCTATCGACATTGATATCGCTTTTGTTATCGATATTTTTATCGGTTTTATTATCGATACTTTTATCGATTTTGCTATCGGTATTGTCATCGCTTTTGTTATCGATATTTTTATAGATTTTGTTATCGATATTTTTGTCGATTTTGTTATCGACATTTTTATCGATTTTGTTATCCATTTTGCTATCGATATTATTACCGATTTTGATATCGATATTTTTATCGATTTTGCTATCGATATTATAATCGCTTTTATTATCGATATTTTTTCTTAGCGTGTGCTTTCGTCTCTCCGATCTCCGACACAGCCTGCAGACGAAGACGAAGGCGCTGGACTGTTCCTTTTTTTCTACTGACTAAAATAACCTACTTAATTTTAGTCGCTGGTACAAATATAATTTTTCAACTTCATTCATAATCTCATGCGAACCTTGAAAGACGCTATTCGATCGAAATGAAGGCTCTTCTTTTCACGCACTACATGTAGCAAATAGAATTTTAGGCAAAATTATTGTTTGCATTAAAGTCACTTAAATCACAGTCAATACAATTGCCCAGTTAAAATTTCAGCCACAAAAGTCATCTCTTTCACATCTGACCCCATTTCGCTTGACACACATCTAACTGTTTGCTAATGGCGGCCTAACTGAATGTGTGGGTGTCATTTTTGGCTATAAATCGTATTGCAGCAAATTGCCAGGCCACAAGTGTTTTGCAAACACTTTCAATTAGTGACAACAAATATCCGTGTCAATTCGGTGATTTGTAAACAACAGTGTCAACCGGCAATCATGTCATCAACTGTCGACCAATGACCACATCATCAATAGCACTCACCTCATCATTATCACCTTCAAAACATGCCCAAGCATAAGTCTACGTACCTACGTACATATATATGTATGTATGTATGTATGCATGTATAAGTGACGGCAGACATAGTCCAGCATATTTACGAACGTGTATAATGGCCAGCAATTTGCAAGTATAAACACCAACAGACAAACACACACACACACACACACACACACGTACAAACTCATACAACTTCGTACAGCCGCTGCAAAATTTTGGCAACATTCGTACATTAACTAAGCCACCAACACTGCCACTGCCACTCATTCACCTTCAATGTTTATCTTATTTCAGATGGCTTCCAGTGTAACATCCCCACCGCTCAGGTTGAGTACATGATTGGGCTGAAGAATGGCAGCGCTTGCAAACCGATGATTGAATGTCAAGTGATTGATCCTTACGACAGCAAAGGCAGTGTACTGGCCGATAGTGAATGCATTAAAGTAAGCAATTTGCACCGCCCTGCGCCCATTTATGTATCTGCAACATGTCACATATTTAATCATACCTCCAACTCTCTCTCTTCCATCTCTCTCTCTCTCTCTCTCACACTATCTTTCATACGAATTCCCGCACATATCCATAGATTACTGGCGACTTGGATGCCACATTGGGCGGCTACACTGCCATCCGCCTGCTGGGCGACATTTTCGTGATGGCCGCATTGACGCTGCTCAACACCGCCATCGTCATTGCAGTGCGCGAGACATCGGAGGGACGCGGTGAGGTATGCCGTCAGTATGTGTGGGGTGCGATCGGTTATGTGCTGCTCTTCTCGCCCATCGATTTGTTTGCCTTTTCGAGTGACTCGAAACACGACGCCGCACTGGTGGCATTAATACTTGTCATTGTGTGTCTGCTCATCGGTGCCTTAGTGCTGCTGTTTGCATCGCAAATGCCGCTTAGCCCGCCGGAGTGGTGGTGGCACACAAAGACCGGCATGCTCGTCTATCCCATGTCGGCAATACGTCGCTATAGCCCGGAAATATTCGTGCTTACACTTGTCGCCATACTATTCGGCACATTCTGGAGCTGCATTCACAGTTTTCTCATTTGGACATTCAGCGATACGTATGCGGTCACCTATTCTGGGTTGATTTTGGTGTTGGTGCTGTTCTTCAATGTCGACAAATTCATCGAATATTGTGGACATTCGAATATCTTTATCGGCGGCTTTGCGGTTTTCATTATACGCTTCACTGCGCTGAGCAGCGATGGTACCCAATGGTTGACCGTTGTAATGGAGGCTATCGAGCCGGTCGTCATCGGAGTTGTGTGGATTACGATTATACTGTATATGCGACATGCGATGCCCAGGAAGTTGACAGCGACCGGACAGGCAGTGGCTGTGTTGGCCTTCTTCGGCATTGCTAAGTAACTCAGTGGTTGGATTAGTGTTTTGGTAAGGAGCGTAAATGCGGGCAGAGTTGCCAGATGGTTTGGATGGAAGTGTAAGAAAGTGAGACGGGTGGTTTTCCGAAAAGTTATTCTTCGTGTATTGAAAGAAAAATTGTAAGCGTTTTTTTGTTTGGAATTCTCTTTGCTAAGCTTTTTAACTTTCGCTGACCATAAATTAGTATTTTATAATTTTTGAGAAAAAATCACTCTGAAAACTGAAAATATTTAAAAACTTTCTAGAAAATTTCATTAACTATATCATTTCATTTACTTTTAATTTTTTTATTCCCAGTGGAGTAAGTACGTAGTGTAAATTCCACAAAATATTTCGAAGGCACAACTGTTCTAATTAAGATGTCCCACAAGTCAGTGATCGAAACCGGGTCGTACGGAGTGGTAGGCCGCCTGTAATATTTAATCAACATTGTTTTTTATCTAAACACATTTTCCCCTTGTAAGCTTAATATTCAGCTCTCAAGAAGAATCTCATGAAATATTTTTCATTCTGTCGCTTAAAAAAGAATAGTACTTTACCGTATTTATGAATGTTCTCGAAGAAATAGATGTATACATGTGTACAAGCATCTTTCTTGCGAACAGCAAACTGATTTAACAAATTTTGATTGAAGAAAATTTCGTTTAAATTTCTTGAGCATCCCTCCTATAGATTTTTTGTTTTTCTTACGAGCTGGCTACTTGGCAACTCTATTACTCAAAATAGTGAAACACTTACATACATGCGAGCTCCATGAAGCACAGTTGTACCTCTCATTCAGCATTTGGAATAAAAGTAATTTAATGCCAGCTTTAACGACAGACCAGTGGTGGCCAACATTTATCCATCTACTCAATAACGAAAGCCCGGATCCGCAACCTGCACAATGCCTGTACGTTGACTGCTAGTAAAGAGCCAATATTAATGTAATTTTGTTGATGTGGAAATTAAGCTTTGAATTATCGAAGTGAAGCTATCATTGTAAAAGTTCGAACCGACATGGCCACCACTGTTTTAGAGGCAAGACTGTTGCTTCTTCTTGATATGAGATTTGCATTCTCATGAAAGTAGAAATGTGAGTGGCCTAGAATTGCATGCTTTCGTGCATGTGCATTAGGGTTGTCCATTTTTCCTAAGCTTAAAATTCATGCTAAATAGGTCTTTGTATATCTCCGATTAGTAACTTATAATAACTTAATTCTAATAAACATGCACACAAATATTGGAAAATAAACCATTTCAAACGACTCTTTAGTAGCATACGAATCATTCGTGGAGCAGAATTTCTCAGCTACGTTAAATTGTTCAATACTGATGTGCCTGGTTCTTAATGCAGCTTAAAAATTACCTTGCCTTCGGTGCCTTCAAATAAAATGAGAAACTGTCTCCACTAGTGTAAACCGTTCCATAATAAGCACCCTTGCATTCATATTTTAAAACTCGGTGAATGTTCCTCTGAGAGTGAAGTTTCCAAGGGTATATCAGAGCAAGAGACACTGCGATCTGAGAGGTATTTTGTATCTGAAAAGAGAGTCTCTAACCCAGTAAACATTCGACTTCCTTAATGAATCCTGAAAGAGCCTTGGTGGAACAATTCACAAGGAGCTTTAAAATTAATTAATCTTTGTCCAGCCATGGTTGGGCAGTCACAAAGAATGTGTTCGGAAGTTTCCTCTACTCTATGCAGAGCGGGCATTCAGGTTCTGCGATACGGTACCTGTGCAATCGTAGTTGGTTGTGATCTCTCTGTTAGGTATCCAGAGAGTAGCCTGTTGTAATGTATATTTAATTGAAGAATACCCGAACTGTTAAAAGGGTAGGCGAAGAGACTGGCCTGTCTATGGCTCCCCACCAACCGCCAGTACGTACTTTGCTTAGAGTGTAAGAGAGTTCTCGGAGAGAACCAAGTTAGACCACAAATAGTCCGATCCTAAAAAGGCGGTTAAGGATCTTTCTCGTGGCTACTCGTGAGCGACCTAATTACCTTCGAACCCATTGTATGCGCAGTCAAGACATTTGCAAATTCGACGATTTGTGTATTTGATGGTTTCAGAAATCAAATAATCTGTAACATCTCATGAGCATGCGCAGATTGGAAACAACTCGAAAACCGTGCTTGCGTGACATAAAAGAAGTATTTTTAGTTGAAAAATCACAATTTTTTTTTGTTTGTTGGAAGAAACAAATTACAAATAAATTTTTTTTTTATTTTGTAGAGAAATTTTTTTCGCATATTTAAAAAAATTTTCCTTTTTTTGAGCGTTTGTTGACTAAAAGCGATATGAAGGCCCAGATACGAAGGTTTGAGCAGTGAAAAAAATTAATTCAAGTAGGGACATCCCTAATGCATGCTATTGGAAATTATTATTATTATATTATTAGATAATTTGGCAGGCTTTGGTGATATTTCGGTGAAACAAATTAAATTTTATGATCAAAACTTTAAAAAAATATTCAATCAACAAAATGATTTGCGGAAACAATTGTGGAAATTGTCGCTCTCTGTTCGCATACAATCCGCTCAAGCGCCTAACTTTCTACACATACCAACTTTTGCTTATTCATATCTCAAATTTTAAACTTACATTTTTCTACTCTTCCTTGCAGGCAAGGGCTTGGGTGCCGTCATTGGATTGGCGCGTGACGACAAGGTGCCCCAATCGGAGGCACAGGTCCATACATCAATGGTTGGCAATTGCCGCTTGCATTATTGCGCTCGTTTACTTCATCATTTACAATTTGCTTTTGGCGCCACGTTGCGCTGCCAAATCACAGCATATTGAAGAGTTGATTTCAGGCTCGGCATCGCAGAATTTCAGTAATGGCACTGGCAATGGAGCCGGCAGCACCGGACAGGGTAGCACCAGCGCTAAATGGCAACTCGTATTACTCGCCGCTACGTGTCTACCACAATGAGCGAGGGAAATTGGGACAATTTAGATTTTAAATTTAATTAATGCGCTTTGAAATACATATGCAGATACATACGTACATACTAGTATGTATGTATGCATGTTTAATGTATTTGTTTAAACAAGTTATTTTAAATAATTTTAACTGAGTGTTTACAAATGTAATTTTTAATTTAAAACATTTTTTTGTATTAAATGAGATAAATATTAAATGTAATAAACAACTTTTGACTTACTAAAACCCAAAAAAAAAAAAAAAATTTACAAAAATTTTAAATATAAAATCGGTCGAAAAAAAAATCAACTGCAGCAACCACAGCCACTGTTCGTAATTTTTGGTGTTTGAATAGCAGCGAGTTCTGGCAAAAGTCACCGGCAAAGGTTTCAGTATCACAAAATGTTATGCAGCAATCAGCCCACCTTCTCATTGAATATTTACAAAAAAAAAAGAAGAGTNAGCTGCTAACAACAACAACAACAACAAATGTTAATTCTAGTTTTAAGCGTAGATTTTGCTAAGATTATACACTGTAAAGTAATAATAAATGTTTCTCATCTAATTTTAATGAATTTACAATGAAAAAAAATGAATCAAAAAAGCACGAAATATGCAATTAAAAGAAAATTTTATTACCATGCCTGCAAAATATGATAAAAAAATGTTGAACAAAAAACCGCAATTAATAATCAGTTTAATAATAATTGTGCATTGCTTGAAAAACAAGACCGTTATTAAAATTAAGTAAATTAAAGATGTAATCATTGAATTAACATGCACACATACCAATGCATACATATATGTAACTATAGACATACATATGTTTTTAAAAATATTTTAATGAACAATTTAATATATTTTTTTATTTTTCTATTTTTTTTTTTAATGCGCAAATATACTTTTACTCTTGTACAGTGTTGTGCAAAACCTGAAAAAACTATTTATGCACAGCATTAGTTAGTTACATATGTATGTACTGTGTGTTTAATTTTGCATAAAAAGTTAATAATATCCAGTGATTTATTAAGCTTTGAAATATGAGTGAGTCATAATTAAAATCCAAATGTCTAAAATAAAAGTGATGATTTTCTACTAATTACGGCTATAATATTTATTGCGGTATTCGCGCGTAATAAAAATTATAAAAAAAGGTTTAAACAATAAAAAAATTTGAATTGAAAAAAATCTCATTATCACTTTTTTACTATTTGGGAATATGAATTTTTAATTTGTTATTTGTTCCTATTTGAATAAAATTTTTATAGGCAAGAGATATTTGTAGTATGTTCATGCCAAGGCATATTGAATAGGTAGTGGCAGTAGAGCAGCTGATTTGATTTTTTTCAATTTATTTGGTCTTTAAAATACCAAATATTGTAAATATTTTCACAAAAATTCTGAATTGTCAAAATTTTGTTTCGTGTGAAACCTTGCTTTTATTAAAAAGAAGTGATAGGAAAGCAGCTTTTGGAACGTTCACCTAACTCAGCAGCACAAACGCTAATTGCCCTGTGCACGAAAATGAATTTTCTTGTTTATAAGCCGACGACCTACATACCTAGTAAAGTCAATTTGTGTACGCAGTGGTGTTGGTCATATTCCGAGGTTAGGTCCATAAATATAATAGAGTTACCTGAAGTTCAGGTTTTTAGGCGGAATTCGTTTGTGAGCGAAATTTTACGATTTTTGATGGCTCTGAAAATTCGTATTGAAGGGTTTTTTGTTGCTAGAAATCCGAATTTGACACAATTTTTGCGATCAGATAAATATTTAGTACAGTTTTCATATAAAATATATACAAAAATTACAGAAAATGGTCAAAAACGTTGATTTTTGTATGCAAGTGGCCCTAAATTTGTTGAAATTTAACATTTTATTTTTTCACTCATTTGGGAGTTTTGGCTCAAAATCGAAAATTTTTTATGAGTGGTATATTTTTCTCTCTGATTGCGATGAAATTTTTAGGAACGTATTTTAATCAACACAAAGAAAAAAAAACATATGTATATAAAAATTAAAATGTATTGCGAAAAAATTTTGGGCCATTTCCATACTTTTCCATTTTACCGTTTTCGGTAATTTTTTTGGATATTTTTTTTATGAAAGCTATACTTATATTTAATTAAATATTCAAAAATTATTAATATTTTTTTTTTTTGATTTTCACTTTTTTGATGGTAAATTAAATTTTTTTAAATGTACCCAATTTGAAGTAAAAATTTAACGCTAAATTATACTAATCTACATTTGTATATGTTTCGTAGTTCGTCAAACAAATATTTGTGTAATTTTCGGAGTCAAATTTCCACGTTTACCCAGAATGACGTTGAGCACAGCTTTCAGCTCCAATCAAATTGATTGACAGCTAGTCTAGTCATTCGTAACTAAACACTAGGTTTGTTTTAGTAACCGTCACATTTACAGGAAAAATACTTGGCATTTACACTTTTGCTATGTGTTTGGCCGAATTTCTAATCCAATTTGTGACCTACTGTTTGTAGGAGATTGGAGGTCTGCGTATATGACATGCATGGAAACCGTCCTCTGTACCCGTTCCTACTTGGCTCTGGGCAAACACTTTTTTAAAGCTGGCCACCATACGTTGAGCCTATAGAAGAGGATGGGCCTTATCATAGCTGTGTACATACGTTCAGTGTACTATATGTGGTTGTATTCCCCCCTTTACTATAGCCATCTTGCAGGCAAAGAAGGCGGCGTTGGCCTTCCTGGAGCGGTCTTACATGTGTCGCTTCTTTTGGAAATTAAAAATTATTGTTCGATTTTTTGTAAGCGCACAGTTTGTTTTGTGTTTAAGGCTTTCATTTATTTGTGCTTCAACTTCAATTCCATGAAATGCACAATGTAGAATTGTTAAAATAGTAAACCATAATTGTTTACTTAACTTAAGTTGTAGTAATTTTTCATAAAATTTATTGGCAAATACAAAAAATAATCGAAATTGCAAGGCTTTGCAAAGGCGTAATTAAATAAAGTATATTTCCCTTAATTTTATTTCCCCAACAATTCATTTCACATCAAAGTATTTAATTTGTATGATAAATGTTCTTAAAACATAAATATTTACATTCGAATGAGGAAGGCTCTTTAACGCATTTTAATTTAAAATCACATAAATAACCAATGGATAATGGAAATGAGATTAATACGTTTATAAAAAAAAAAAATGCAATAGATTACCAGCAGTGATCGTGGGTAAGCCACCACCACGTAGGTATGTACATATGTAAGGCGCGAGCGCATTTGTGTTGCAGCTGCAGCTATTTATTTTTCGCCATGAATTGTATAATTAAAGTTTTATATAAAGAGCGAAAAGTAATTAAACATTAATGTTTTAAGCATGAAAACAAATAGTCGAAGTGTCAGCGCGTTTCTGACAGTTGTAGCATTTTTATGGAAATGCTTGCATAACTCCCACGCAGCGAAGAGCCGCGCTTTGATTCATTAAAATGTGTCTTAACAAATCCCCATATGCGCACACATGCACGCACGAACACGCAGACAAATAAACGCTTCCTTTCTACAATAAATTAAAGTGTAATGAGCAAATAAACAATAATTTGATATGTAGTGGTATTCGCACTGTTGCGTTATGCAAATAGGGCCTGCAGAAAAAAAAAATAACCAATTGATAGGAACCAACTTGAAGTTAGCTTTATTTGCGGGAACTTGTAGGTAACTATAAAAAACTAACTTGAAACTAGTTGAAAAGTAATGCAGCGGTAATGCAGACGTAATCGGGAGATGGTTTTCTTTAAACAAGTTTCGATTTGCATATGCCCATTCAAATTTTGCTTTGAATTCACTTTCTTTCTGTACTTCACAAATACTTTTTCGAACTGAGAATAAATAAAAGGAAGATAGAAATTATAATTATAATTTATATTCTCATTTTGAAGTTATGTCTGACGGAGTAAGAATTTAGGACCACCTCCAGCAGCATATGTAAATGTAATAAAATAAAGTAAATAAATAAAAAAGTAAAACAAAAAATATTTTTTTTCTTTTCGATATTTTATGTCCAAAAGTATTTAGTTACAAGTTAGTTGACATCTAATGCAGAGGCAACCACCCTTTTCCACTATTTCGCGGCAATCACCATAGAAATATAGTTGGCTTTCCCCAAAGAAAATATACAGATAACAGCGACCTTTAGTTCCTTCCTATGAATGTGTGTTCGAGTAGTTTATTCGACTTCGCAAAGGACACAACGTGTGTACATTAGAGTGGTCCAAAATAATAAAGTCGGAATTTTAATGCCGCCACCCCCTAGGATTGTTCTGAACCGAAAATAAATATACCCCTATTTTTTATTTTGAAATCAAAAAATATTTAGGGAGTGCTCACAACGCTCAAAGTTTTCCATGTATTTTATATGGGGAAAAAAACAAATTTTCGTAAAAATGGTGTAAAACTCTTGAAAATCAATATTTTTCAATCGTAAAACTGTGGTTCTCTTCAGGAGACTTCAGATATTAGTATCCAATTGTTTATTTAATAATTTTTTACGATTAAAGATTTTTTATTGGTCCCCCCCCCCCCATTGCATTTTCTAGGACCTATAAAATTTAGTTACCATGAAAAAATGGTTAAAGGAACAATTGGGTATTATTAATGGGAACCTCCTGAAGATAAGCAAAATTTTCCGATCGAAAAATATTGATTTGCAAGAATTCTACACTATTTCTATGAAAAGTTGTTTTATCCCCATAGAAAATATATTGAAAACTTTTAGCGCTTTGAGCACTCCCTAATTTTTTTTTATTTCAAAATAAAAAATAGTGGTATATTTTTTGTCGGTATAGAACAATCCTAGGGGGTGGCGGCATTAAAAATGCGACCTTGTTTTTTTACATACATGTTTGGACCACTTTAGTGAACATATCCACACAAGGGTGGTCCAAATTCTTTTTCCAGTCACCCCCTAGAACTGAAGAATATCGAAAATAAGATTACCCATTTTATTTTTGTTTTGAAATCGGTTAAAATTTTATTGTCCGCCCGGCTTTGAAGTTTCCCATATATTTCATATGGGGAAGTAAATTTTTCGCAAAATTGCTATAAAATCTTTAAG